GCTCTTGATATTGCTGAAGTATTTGCAGATTCTAGAATAATTGATCTGCTCCAAAATAAAATGGAAAACTTGCCAGAAGTTCCAGGAAAAAAAGCAGCAGAGAGAGTTGTGAAGCCAAAGTCACCTTCTATACTGATGCCTGCAGAGGTACAAGCTCTGAAAATTCATAATTCTTAAGAATTATGCACTATATCACTGACAGGACACAAAAATATTTCCTCCTCTTTTCCCTCTCCTGAAGTTTATGATCATCCAGCTCTGTTGTGGTAAACACTGAACAACTCGTACCTGTACTTTCTTAAAGGGAGCATTTTTATTTTTTTTTATTACAGAATCACAGAATGCTTTGGATTGGAAGGGACCTTTAGTGGACATCTAGTCCAGCCCCCCAGTTTTCTGCTAATCAAATTCATTGAGGCAATATCAGGCTTACTGACTTCTCACTTCCATACTTGTCTTGTGTCCTTCCTCTTCTACTCTTGACCTGAGTCCCATTTCTCAAACCCCACACTGATATTTGTTGTACTTCTGAACACTTTTCCTGGACCCCCTGGGAGCCTTGACTACCCTACCATTGCCTCGGTTCCCTAGCTGACAAGTCTTTGTGGCCACATCCTGGGTGTCTTTTTGTGGATAAGATCTTCCTGATTTACCAGTAGTACTTGTTAGTCACACCTGGGATGCTTTTTAAGAGAGAAAATGCAATTGTATCTGCATTGCTGGAAGTGGCCTTCAGCAGCCCTGTCCTGGGTGGTGTAGTAAATATGTCCCAGTAGCCAAATGTTGGTTTCATTTTAAAACATTTTGAATATCAGGAACAGCAAAGAACTTTCATAAGCAGGAGGTCAACAACCTTAGGTGTCTATTTATTAATCACCTGGCACAGGATGGGATCATCAGTGCTAGTTGATCATCTTGTGAGTCTTAAAGAGCAGTTAATGTTCTAGTGTCCAAGAAGGAGAGTCATCCTCTACATTTTAAGAGGTTTCTTCTCACAATTTTTGGTTAGAAATAAACCCAAAACCAGCTTTAAGAATAATCGATTCTGCACAGATTAAGAAAAGTACATCCACAATAAAAAGATAGCAAAAGAACTGTCCAAATGCAATGCATGTGTATAACTGATACCTTCTCTTTCAGCCTTCACAGGTATCTCTGCCAGCCGTAGAAGAATCCATTCCTGAAAAGACAACACATTCCCTTAAGGACAGCGTTATTGATCTGAACTCTTTGATAACCAGGGGTGCTACCAAGAAAGATGACATCGCATTCAAACCGAGAAAAGTATGTACAGTAGCAAAACATGAGCACAGTTTCATGTTAATTTAAAGGTAGACCTTGCTGTAGATAAAAAACTAGAATAATCTGGTGAAATTACTTCACAATTTGATTAGTTTATAGATGATGTGACACAGGCTAAAGAGGTTGCCACAAACCAACAGTAAACTAAAGGTTTCATATATATGTGTATATGTATTATATACATACATATATTTATATTAGAAAACATCATGGAAATCAAGCTCTTACCAGGTTTTAAAACCTAAAGGTCCCTAAAGTAGACCTGCAATAAAATGCAAATGCAACTACATGCAATACATACATGGAACCAGCATTAACTTCTAATTTGTCTTCTGAATTAGTGATCACATGATTACTTATGTCAGTGACAGTTACTGAACTAAGTGGATCACAGTACACTAAGTAGTTACTGCCTAGAGTTAGAATACTGAACGTGTAATTGTTCTATCAGAATCTTGTTAATAGCTCATTCACAAATAACCAAGAAACAGAAAGAGATGATTACAAAGTAGGGGGTTTTTAGTATTTTCTTTTTGCTCCTTAAGAAGGAAAGGAATACCATTGCTGACTGAGAAGTTTTGTTTGGAGTTTGTTTACTATTTCCTTAACTCCAATTTGTGCTAGTTTATGCAGTAGTCTCAGGGGAATAAGACTATGTTGCCAGTGACTCAACAGCTAATCACTCTTTTCCACTCTGAGGATCTTGGGCCCGAGTCAGTCATTCTAAATAATTGGCTTTGGATCCTCTTTCTCCCATTATCCCTGGTCTGAGCCCATGGCATGTTGTGGATTGGAAGTGACAACAAGAGAATGCTCTACGTACGTATACACAAATTGTTGTGGTATCTTCCACTGGGAGGCTGCACTAGTTTTCTGTCTCAGGATAGAAAGGAGGGCTAGAACATGGCTCTGGCTAACAGGGTCTTCTTAATACTTTTGTTGCAGAAGTTGTGTCCAAATTAACTTCAAATACCTTTATTTTGTAGATTTGGGCCCCTGAAGCTGCAATGGAGGAGTTAGTAAGAAAGCAAGAATTACTCCGTGAACGCCTTACTCTTGATGGGCACTCAGAAAGTTTGACAACCCCCTTTGAAAGAAAAATAGCAGAATAAGCACACCAGCTGCAAGAAGCTACTTCAGCACATTGTGAGGGGACAAAGATCTGAAAAGCTACTCCTCTGTAAGGAAGAAGTCATGCACTACTCAGTAAATGTATCTCAGTTACAATTAGAAAAAAATAAAAAACAGTTGTAGCATTTTTTCCTCTGTAGGTTATGTTGCTTACACACATTCTTTTGTTAAGAGCTTAGTCTGGAAAAAGGTTTATCCTCATGTGATTTTAAGTCTTGGATCTGGCTCACCGTACTTCATGGAATGGTTGTTGTGACACGCACATCCTTTGTCCTTGTAAAGGTATAGCTTTATAAGGCTATTTTTCACCCCAACATAAAATGTCTTCCTGGAAGATTATTACTATTACTATTATTAGTATACTATTAGTATTATTAATATTATTAGTATTACTATTTCTACTGAAAAGGTATTATATATAAAGATATGTAGATGTGTGTGTGGCTAGGGCCTTACATGTGTTCTGCTGAGGGACTCGGCACCTCTTGAATTCTATTGAGCACACCTTCAAAAGAGTTAGCAGCACAAAAGTAAGCCCAATTTGGAGCTTCAAAAAGGCAGCAACAGGTGGTAAGTTTTGGGTATGCAGAGGCTTGAAGTACTGGGAATGTTTAGGTTAGAGATGAAAGGAAGGGGGAGGGAATGCCATAAAATAAAGTTTAAAGAAGCAAAAAGTGTGGAGAAGTGAGCTGAAACCTCCTATATTTTATTTCATGGGATAGAAGAACATTAAGACTACAGGAAAAAAGAGAAAGCAGCACAAATTAAATACTGTATGATATGTAAATAGCCTGTGGAACCCTCTAGCCCAATTATCCTTGCAAACTAAAAAAAAATATTTACACAGATTGTGAGAGGAGTCTAGTTAGCTAGCACATAAGGGAAAAAATCTCTTGTGTTTCAGAACCTCAGCTAATTACTGTTGGCACACAATAGAAGTAGTTTTCTAGCAATGCGGTTATGTCCCTGATTGTCCAGTGAGGTGATGTGTGTGTCCCTTAGGAGAGAAGATGACACTGGCCTAGACAAACACTGTAAATTAAATCAGCTTCTGGTTTGATAGTATTCATTCTTCAAATTTATTTTGATGTTATGAGTCTTCAAAAGCTGTCTGGATCAAGAGTACAGCTACTTTTGAAGGTTTGTTTTCAAACACGCTCTTTTTTTAACTGCAAGTCTTGAACGCCAGAATGAGAGTACTTGCCTCAGTATGAAGAGAGCAGAGTGGAAGGTTTTTGAGAAAAGCCTGTGCAGTTACATTCTTAAAGACAGCACCACTGCCTGCATGACAGTGCATGCAGCGATCTCTTTTTAACTGCAGCTGCACATCCAAATGCAAGTGTGATATTTAGTAGATAACCAAGGCAAACGCAAAGCAAGTACATGTATCTAGTGAGATATTATTTTGAAATACCAGTACCAAACATATTATTTATATGTATGTGGTTGTGCATGAGTAGTTTATGACAAGTTGCTTACATTGAGAAAATATCCTGACAGGTCTAGCATTTTAATAGTTCAGTATAAAGAAAGACTTTACAAGCAAGTGAGATACCATTTCAAATTTCAGCTGACTTGGAATTCTTAACATCAGCATATCATCTATGCCTGTCAGCATAAAACTTCTGCTGGCTGCAGACAATTGTAGATAAGAAAAATAATAGTGTTAAAGCCAGTCATAGAAGGCAGCACAGTCAAGAAGTAGGATGTCTATGAACAATTGTATATAAAACTGCACCTCTAAAAGAAGGAGAGCCTTGGAGTCAATTTGCAAAACAGTAGCCATCAAAATAGAGTCAAGTAGCACAGTCAGAAACTCCCAACTCATCTTGTAAGGTAAAACCATGTTTCTGGCAGAGTTATGTCATTGAGAATAGCTGGGAGAGTTCTCTGCTGTTAGTGGCTCAGCTCTCCTCTGGAAGTACCATGGAAGTACTCCTCATTTGGGTAACTACTGCCACGCTAAGGTACCAACCGTTTTCTGCTGGCTGTGTTCATTAGGGTAACTGCAAGCGAATTGACAGTAACTTAGCTTGTTCCCTTTGCAGTCAACCTTGCCAGCAGAAGGGTTGTCTCCTGCATCAGTTCAGATCACATTGTAGAATCAGGGCTTGCTGGCAAGTAGCTTCTGAAAAGGTTGAAGAAGAGAGCTCTGAGAGGGGGCTATTTTCTGTTCCCAAAGGAAATCCTGATGAGCATCATTTATGTGCTTTTCCATTCCAGCCAGAATGGGCTGCAGACTCTCACAGGCTTTACATTTTGTCCCACAAAAAGAGAGAGGGAAAAGTTGTGCCTTAGCTGTACACAGCACGATGGCTGAGCAGAAAGAAAGATTTGTGCTCCTTTGGCATGCTGGCTTCAACGTATCTCCCTGGTCTTTTCCATAGCAAGCTACCCAAAGACATAGCAGACTTGTCTCACAAGCTACCACCTCGTCTCACATCCAGCCCTCAGCCTGCCTTTCTGCAGAAGCACAGTGCAAAATAAGAGGTGAGATGAAGCATTACTGCACCCAACACAAGATTGAGCATATGTAGTTGTGAAGACAGCTCATTTTGTGCAAGAAAGGAAACCATTCCTGTATTTATTTTAATGAGAGAAAGGCAGTGGTATTTGTGTGTTTATGTATTGAAAACCTGCCTACACCTTGTGGCATTTTCAAAGAATTGAGTACAAGCACCTACCACTGATTTTAATGGTGTTTTGATAACTAACACCCTACCAAAATAATTCAATGCTCAAAAAAAAATTTGCATGAACAGTCCACTCATTCTAGTCCCAGTGGGATAGAGGCAGATATCAGAAGAACAAACTGAATTTGGCTAGGTTTGACTAGAGTCAAGTAGCACCTTTCGAGATTGTCCTCCTCAAGTGTGATGATGAGTACATGTTTAGAGATTCTCCACTTGTACACTAAAAGTGGAGGAGGAAAATCTGTTGCATAAGCAGCAATAGCAGTGTAGGAGGTTTTTAGGGATGTGAAAGGAGATGTCACAAGGGGAATCAAGGGGTAAAGCTCCAGAACTTAAAATTGACCTCAGAAGAAGGATATGGAGTAAAGAGCTGGAAGCAAGCTGTGGTGGAGGCAAAGAGCCTGTGCTGATGGACTGGTCATGGAAAAGCTGAGTGACATTCAGTGGACAGTGTTAAAGGGTAGCAAGTGATACTCGGAGAGAGAGAGAGTCATCTCAGTAACAGAGAGCCAAGCACCACACTTCCAAATGAGAGCACCTTCTGGGAAGTTGAATCAGCTACATGTCAGAAAATGTACCAAGAACAAGGAAATTTGCAGGTGGGAGTTCAAACAGATTATGCCTGTGACTCAATCTCTTGAGACAGAGAGCACAAGTGAAAAATAAAGCAAAGGGGGAAATTAATGCAGAAAAATTAGGTGGACAGAGGGCAGCAACACTGAAAGAGAACACATCTACACAACCTAAGATGAGTTGTATATGAGTTTTGGCACACAACCAGACTGTAATCTAACCTTAAGTCACCCTTTATGATTTGCCTTTAGAGTTCAAGACGCTTGTGAAGTCTTCCAAGTATTGTTTCAAACTAACGCGAGTATCTCAGGCCAGCTACTGTTGACAACCTAAAGTGCTAAATTTTAGTCTGGAGATTTTGATGTTAAAGATGCACCATGCTCAGAAAGGCTAATCAAAATAAATAATGAAAAAATAAAGGCATTGATTAAATTCAATTGGTGTTTAATGACATAAGAGATTGCTGATGATATGAACATACCAAAATTGACCATTGAAAATCATTTAAAACAACTTGGATACATTAGGAAGCTTGATATTTGGGTACCACATGAGCTCAAAGAAACTCAAATCAAGAAGCATGTTGACATCTGCAGTTCTCTCTGAAACATGAGGAAAATGATCCATTTTTGAAACATATGATAACAGGCAATGAAAAATGGATAATCTACAACAATGACAAACGAAAAGATCATGCAGCAAGCATGATGAACAATCTCAAAGCACTTCAAAAGCAGATATTCACCAGAGGAAGGTTATGCTGTCAGTCTGGTGGGATTTCAAAGCTATTGGGTATTTTGCATTGCTTCCAAGGAACTGAACCATTAATTTGAACGTGCACTGTCGTCAACTGGATAAATTAAATGATGCCATCAAACAGAAACGTCCAAAATTAGTGAATTGCAAAGGTATTGCATTTCACCATGACAATGCTAGACCACATACAACCTTCACTGCTGATTAGGGTATAAAATCATTCTTGTAACTGTTTTTTGCCAAAAAAAAAATAAATTTTTTTAACGTAGAATCATGAAGTTGCCTGAAAGATCGCAACAGGTAATTGAACAAGAGGGACAATATTTTGTTTAATAAGCTTGTTTCCCATGAAAAGTTTGCCTTTAATTTACCCAGAAAAAAATGCAATTACTTTTTGGCCAACCCAGTACATTTCTCATCCCACAATGTGTGCTACTTTAAGTTCACTTGCAGAACACATGAAATTAGGGCTAGGTATCGCTATTGTACATACTGTTGGCATACATTTATGCATTCAAAATTTAGTTCTTTAACTCCAGAGTGTTTCTCAGAGGCTCTTCATTATGTAGGAAGCCCCAGTACTAAGTAACAGACTCTAAATTCATCAGATACTATAGGACATGACAGTAAATACATACCAAGAGATATTTGATGGATAAGAGCTCAATGAATGATCGACTGCTCCAGGCCTACCTTGAACAGATTTTATTTTAACTTAGAAAAACAAAACCACCTCACCATTGTGCTCCTTTCTTCTCATATATAGGTACAGCTGGATTCACACACCTCTAACTCCCCATTTCCTCCACACCCCCCACACCAGCAACACACCCATTCCTACCCAAAGTGCAAACATGTGCCATGTATCCCTTTGTGCAGTTCCTCTGTCTCTGAGACTTCTCTTAAGCCACTATATCATTTCACTAGCTTGCCTCTACTATCACTGTTAATCTAGGAAG